ACCTGGCCTAAAGCTATCCCTACTCTGGTACCCTATCATAATCCCCTATCACCTGGCCTAAAGCTATCCCTACTCTGGTACCCTATCATAATCCCCTATCACCTGGCCTAAAGCTATCCCTACTCTGGTACCCTATCATAATCCCCTATCACCTGGCCTAAAGCTATCCCTACTCTGGTACCCTATCATAATCCCCTATCACCTGGCCTAAAGCTATCCCTACTCTGGTACCCTATCATAATCCCCTATCACCTGGCCTAAAGCTATCCCTACTCTGGTACCCTATCATAATCCCCTATCACCTGGCCTAAAGCTATCCCTACTCTGGTACCCTATCATAATCCCCTATCACCTGGCCTAAAGCTATCCCTACTCTGGTACCCTATCATAATCCCCTATCACCTGGCCTAAAGCTATCCCTACTCTGGTACCCTATCATAATCCCCTATCACCTGGCCTAAAGCTATCCCTACTCTGGTACCCTATCATAATCCCCTATCACCTGGCCTAAAGCTATCCCTACTCTGGTACCCTATCATAATCCCCTATCACCTGGCCTAAAGCTATCCCTACTCTGGTACCCTATCATAATCCCCTATCACCTGGCCTAAAGCTATCCCTACTCTGGTACCCTATCATAATCCCCTATCACCTGGCCTAAAGCTATCCCTACTCTGGTACCCTATCATAATCCCCTATCACCTGGCCTAAAGCTATCCCTACTCTGGTACCCTATCATAATCCCCTATCACCTGGCCTAAAGCTATCCCTACTCTGGTACCCTATCATAATCCCCTATCACATGGCCTCAAGCTTTTCTTTCTCCACTCACAATGTATCAAACTTATGCATTTCTTTGAAGGTTTCTGGATTGAATCAAATCAATCGATCAATGTGGTGTTTCGACAACAAACATGCTGGAATACAGGTTTGCAACATTTACAAATGCACTGAACAATCAGAACATTGTAAAAAGATAACAGATAAATAAACAACCTTAACAAAATCGATATCCACAATCATAAAGATAAGAATCACCAAATATAAGTGTCAACTCATCCCAACTGGAACAACATACCACATTATGTAACCACTATGTACTCTTACCTTATATGAAGCTACAGAAGTACCACTGCATCCTTTAGCACAATGAACATGGTGTTCTATTGCTTTAGAAATGTTCAATTTCATGTATAGAAAGCTAGCAAAGACAAACTTTGAAAAAAAATCTACCAGGTGGACCTATATTTTCATTGCAAAAATTCACTCTCCTGACTCCGAGGGTTACTAGATTTTATGCCTGGATTAATGAAAATTTTCAAAATTTACCACGAAAATATCGGTCAGGCCAGTAGGAATTTTCATAATTTGCCAGAAGGTTAGTATAAACAAGTTAGGTAAACAAGCTCTACCGAAATTATCATCGAAATTTCTCTTAATGCTAACAAACTACTCTTAATACAAGAGGCCCAAGGGCCTTAGCGGTCACCCGAGTTATATCATAGGTACTGGTAGCTTTATTTTAGTGTTTAGATGTGATGTGAAAATCAGCATGTAAACTAAGTGAAATACAATACTTGTCATGTCATCAAAGGATAAGAATTTGAAAATATTGGTAAATGTTCCCTTTGGGGCCCCGCCCTAGCCCCTGGGGATGGGGCAGGAATCCCAATTTTCCAAAGTAATACTCTCATTCACCAAAGATGATTCTGACTAAGTTTGAGTAATTTTCTGCTGAAAATGGATAAAATATATACCCAAAAGTGTTATTTCCCTATATAAACTATAGTAAACTTTACCCCCTCCCCAAGGGAGAACGGATAGCTCGGGGGTCCTGAAATTTACAATTTAAATAAAGCCCCTGATGATCTTTCCATCCATGCAGAGAAAATGACTGTAATACCTCTGAGTCTGGAGAAGAAGATTTTTGAAATATTGGTTAATTTTCCCTTTGGGGCCCCGCCCTGGCCCCAGGGGTCGGGGTAGGAATCTCAATTTTACAATTTGAAACCATCTACCTCCAAGGATAATTCTCACCAAGTAAAAATAATTTCCTACAGAAAGTTGTCAAAATATACCCAAAAGTGTTATTTCCCTATATAAACTATAGTAAACTTTACCCCCTCCCCAAGGGAGAACGGATAGCTCGGGGGTCCTGAAATTTACAATTTAAGTAAAGCCCCTGATGATCTTTCTTTCCATGTAGAGAAAATGACTGTAGTACCTCTGAGTCTGGAGAAGAAGATTTTTGAAATATTGGTTAATTTTCCCTTTGAGGCCCCGCCCTGGCCCCAGGGGTTTGGGTAGGAATCCCAATTTTACAATTTTGTAGCCTCATCTACCAAGGATGATTCTAACCAAGTTTGAAAAAAAATCCCTCCACTGGTTCTTGAGAAGAAGTTGAAAATGTAAAAAGTTTACGCACGACGGACGACGGACGGAAAGCGATTAGAATAGGTCACTTGAGCAAAGCTCAGGTGACCTAAAAACATCTTTTAATATCATCGAAAGTCTTAATGATTAAGATAATATCGAGCAGATTAAGAAAAATCTATTCCCTAGTGATACTGAATATGAAATATCTATGAACATATCTGCAATGTTTACCACTTTGTGACAACATGACAGTGAAAATACCCTACCCACTCTATATAGCTACTGTGTGTAAAACCAGTTAGATACAACAATATCACTGTAACACATATGTTAAGACAGAAACAAATTATTTGTGCGAGTGCTGGCACGGAAACAGTGTGGGTTAGCACTAAACAGACAAGGTCATGGGTTCAAGGTTAGGGTAAACAACATGACTACAGTAGGTGAATGTCACAAAGATCAGAAGTCGGGTCCTTATCACATTCCTCTTTGTTTACAGGCAGTAGTGTGGTATGTACATCTTCAGGTCTTAGATGATTGTGAAAATGGACTTGGTTGTTTCAAGCTCAACAGCTTTGTCACAAATTAACTCTAATTTTCAAATTAATTGTAACGGGTCTCAACAGCTTTGTCACAAATTAACTCTAATTTTCAAATTAATTGTAACGGGTCTCAACACCTGTCCTTTCTCTCACTTATTGGACATTTTGAGGCTGATGTCCATAACTGAAAATTCAGTTGTGACTATCAGAGGGGACCATGTTTTAATATCTTTTACATTTTGTATGTATATTTAATAACAAATTTCATTTTATATTTTATATTCTATGAAAATGTAACTTATCAAAATGTAGCATACTTTTCCTGGTTTTAAGGTAAATTCTTTGTAGAAAATAACTGTTCTTGTAGGTTATTTGATGACCATTTCTTTTTCCTATCCCATCTTCATTTTTTATTTTATACATTGTCTCGAATATTCAATTGAATCAGGGCCAGATTTTATAATTACAACTATATCAATGCAAAATTTTATTTTATTTGTAGCTTTATATTCAAAGGATCTTTATATTTTTTGGCCCTCATTTTTTCTCTCTCTTTAAAATTAATACATGCAAAGTCTTTCCATGTTACGTTAATTTTGAAACCCATTAATAGTTTAATTAGCAATCTTCATGTTTGTTAACATATCTGAGTAGAAGAAATATTGTGCAAGACATTGTGCTCTAGATCACAAGCATGTGCCACCTAAGCCTGATCACTGGTACATTTAACCCTCTCAGCCCCATGTAACTTGAATAGACTCTACCATGCATTGATATGGATGAGTCCATTATGGTCTACAGTGGTGAAAGGGTTAAGCTTCTTTTTCTTTATGTTCAAATCTACCATAATGTTGTATCAATATTTGACATGGAAAATGGAAATCTTACATGTATCATGAAAGCACCTGCACATTTCCAGATAACATTTGAGTTACTTTCACATTTCAATTTTATACTTGAGCTTTCTCAGAAAACAGAATGGTTGGGATCTAAGGTAACATTCACAGCTCCAGATAACATTTCTAACAGGATATATAAGATGGAGCTTCACCATCTAAATTCCGTATTTTTATTATTAATTTGCGTGTTTCGACTGAAACGGTTCTGATGATGGCTAGCCTAGCTAGTCAAAACATGCAAACCGTTGAACCTCCATCCTATATATCCTTTGTATTTACCTTCCGTGATGGGTTTAGTTTCGTAATATCCTATCAACAGCTATGGTCATTTAAAGACGGATGGGGCTCTACTGACTACCGTTGGGTATACATCTATGATTCCTACAACGACCTTTCTATGACCGTAAACAACCAGGGCATTGGTTCTCTCCCCCTCCAATAGGAGCCCCATCTATAATATCTCCCATTTATAATATCTAGGCACTGTGCCTAGTATATCCGTAGCACTGGGATGTCCCTAAATTATTTTTAAAAAATGGAAAACTTTCAATGTTTTCTCAGAATACCGTGAAAGTCACTGAAAACTGTCTAATCTGACGCAGAGTAATCCAACAACCTGCCTTTTTCGACCAATACGTTGTCCTGCAGTGCATCATTGTAAATGGGTTTCAGTGTTAATAGTATAAAGGCATAAACGAAGGAATGGCTTATTTCCAAAATGATCAAAACCTGTTTAACATCTTCAAAATGATACCATATAAACTTTCATTTATTTTACAACAATTATGAATTAAGTTATTTCAACTTGAAATAATAAATCTCGCTGGCTAACATGTTAGCGCATGGGGATCTTAATGTGGGAGGAAACCAGAATACCCTGAGAAAACCCACTTGGTCGCCCAATACCCTTTAATGTCCAAAAAAGATAGCGAACCCCGGCCGCCATGGTGAAAGGCATTTACTCTATCAACTGCATGTGCCACCCAACGGTTGGCAACCACCCAGAGATTAAAATGAGCTGGACTTTATACCAAACATGGGGGGTTATCGGATATTTAATAATATGACATCAGAAACCACTTTAATTTGAAAATTAGAGACATTTGTTTCAAGCAACTGTGGCCTTGATAAAGGTCTGACAACAACAATTTGTCATGCAGAAGGCAAGGGAGGTAATTCAAACCTGGTGTCTGACTCGCCAGTCTCCGACATGTCCTAGCACGGGGTGTTATACAGCAGGGCACTTCTGGCTAGTAAATATAGAATCCAGCTACCTAGAAAATACAACAAACACCGCATCCATGTTATAACCACACAAACCAGCTGTCAACAAAGCTCTGCATTGCTCCAACACACTTCTCGTAAGAATGATGTGCTATAGGTTATGCTGAAATTCAATGACCCATTTAGTTTCATTTTTGTGTGTGCTGTAGTGTTTTCTCAGAAATTTTAAATTATCTACAAAAATAGCATTTATAAATCATACCAGTACTTGCCCTGTCTCCTAAATTTGGATGGAAACTCTCCATTATCACATTTTTTTTTGTAACTGAAACCAACAATTTCAATTATCTCCATTACATAGCTCTACTGTAGCATTTTTCACAATTGTTTGTCAGATTGTTTTACTCATGATTTTTGAAAGTGGTTCACTGGGTGGCTGGAAATATATATGACGTCACACATGTAGCCACAGTCAAGTTTTGATCAAGGAAAGAATATCAAATAAAAGTTGAATATAATGGATCTTTGAAACCTATCCAAAGTGGAATTTAAATTTTACCATCAGCAATGTAACAATGTTTTTCATTGGCCGTAATCACTAGCTATGGATCATAATTCATTGAACAACAAACCCTGTTCAAGCCTATGTATGTATAACATGCAGGTGTTATGCTATTCTCAATGCTATCTTCACATCTATGTCACACCCCCTTGTAGGCAAAAAATATATTTTGTTACATTTGATGTGGTAGAATAGATATAATCAACATATGTTTGTATGTATTATAGAGGAATACTTAACTTGATATTCAGAAGAGCTAGAAATCAATAAATTCCTCATATACACATGCCAACACAACTTATACAAAAGTCAATTATTTCTGAAGTAAAATTTCCAACTTTTCACTAATATCTTGGGCAATTAATTTATTCTGAAACACGACAAATATTTATAGTACACTGCTTATGTCTGAACAATTATTGCAACAGAAGACATTTTGAGAAATTCTGTGCAGCCAGGAATGAAACACAATGAGAAAGACTGGTTTTCACGTATTGTGAAGAATAAACTAATACTCAAACAGGCAAAACAGAAAAATATCAACAATTCTTCATTTTCAAACAATTCCAGTAACTACAAAATGCACTTGATAGGTCCGACAGATTACAGTATTGATCCCAATAATTAGGCCAGCATTTTGAGGTTTTTCAGAGAAATTCTGAGGCAACAACAAATACAATACATTGTGTGACAGAAAACTGCCAGCTTTAGCTCCAAACATGCTTCATTAGATCCATAAGCCCTTACACAAACATTCATAAAAAATAACAATAGTGTTGGTATTATAGTGTTGGTATTTGATTGGTGTTTGATCATTAAATGTCAACCAAACATTTATAAAATGATACTGGACAATTTCAGAGATATTTGTAATGTTTTTGTTGTGGAATATATATATTCTAAGTGTTTTATATAAATTTTCGTCTTGTCTTCAGATGATAATGCGACATCTGACACCTGAAATGATCTATTTGATAAATAAGAATGTTTTGGCCTTTTTAATTTGTAAAGAAAGTACCTAGGGGATTCTTTGAACATGAATAAAGAGTTTAAAGTCAAAAAGAAGTATACACCAGTGTTACATGTTGGTTTTTATCAGAACACAACAACTTGTTATGTCCATTTTTTTCCCTATTGAGATCAACAATTTTTTCCAAATAGAAATTGACGGCCTTTTTCCCCAATTCACCCAAAAAAAGTCTTGATTTATAAGGTAAGCATATAAACCCCTATAAACTAAAACGGCTATCCAGAGGTTACATGGATGGGAAACTACAAACTACCACCAAATACCTGCTGTTTATTACATGATCTGCCCTATTCCTCAATTAAATAAATATGGAACATATTACCAGTAATACAGTAATGATTAACTCATTCACCCCAGAAAACACATTGAGCTCTTTCAATTCAAAGGCTGGAGTAGTTCATTATGAAATTTCAGGAGTGAATGAGTTAAATACCATAAGTACTGCATGAAGTTAAAAGGCATTAGAAAGTGTTTAATTCTGTAGTAGTCTGGATGAAATAATTTCTTCAAACCAATGGCAGGTAATTATATATATATATATAATTAAACCATATTGATAAGTCAACAGCTTAGTATATAAGGGGTCGAAATTTAACAGCACCATTGTGTTATATACACATGCAAATAGGGCATTTAAGTATTTAACTGTTTTCAGATGGCATTCATAGCCAATATGTCATGAATGCCATCTGGAAAAAAATAAAAAAATCAGTAAGTCTTGTTAGTGCTTCATGTTAAATTTGTAATTTCAAGTCGGCATTCATATTGGCCATGAATGTCAGTTGAAAGCAGTTCAATACTTACATTTATTATCTTATATTTTACTTTCACTGAATATTAAAATGATTTTCATTGAATTTCTGCATTTAGTTCTCAAGTGTTAATGTATGTAAAATGTACCGGTAAGCTTGTTTATGTAAAATGTACCGGTAAGCTTGTTTATGAGTAAAATAGTAATCCTCAAGAAGCACCATTGGTATCCAAAATTACAAATATGATTTCACAATAATCATAATAATGACCTGCCTATGACCTTAAATATCTGCCTTGGAGAAACAAGCACATGTCTATAAGCTACATTTATACATGTAATGTTAAACGGAGAGGAAAATGGACAGCCACACCAGGATTGGAACCAACCCTCAAACTCCAGACCGATCTACCAATATAGCTACCTGGTTGTCCGCAGTCGACCCTGTCTAGTTCCACTTCATGACAACTACTTATCGAGACTGTGAATCAGTAAACATAATGCGTAGAGTAAATCATCTACTTTTTTTCAAATTATATACGAGTATGTTACTTGCCATGACTTACTGAACCAAGTCAATAATTAATGTTTAATTAAATATTAACAGCTGTTTTTGTGTCACATGTGCAGCTTTAACCAGTCTCAGAACTTGTAACAAACCACAAAATCAAATTTGACATTATATAGTTTTACATCGTATTACCAGATAAGGCCATTTAAAAACGTAGTAGGACGCAGTAAATGGTATAATGGACCAAGTAAAATATATCAAGGCTTTGAGCAAAATACAAAACATGAAAAAGTAAATGTTACCTCATAAGAATATGGATCAACAATAAATTTAATTCACTCGAGTTTTAAACATTGAAAGGTAGGGAAGAAAACTAGCAGACCACAAGAGAAGGTGTGTGTAATTACATTTAACTCAGCTCAGAGTAAATAAACCAACATGGTGGTCGCGAGTCAAGCTCCCAGTAACGACTGACAAATCAATAGGCTTTGTATGTAAAATTCATGGCCAACTGGTCGCGGCAGAACTACACAGCTTCTGGGGAATACACTGCTTCTGGGGGAACAAACAAGTGATACAGGATGACTCGCCGCCATTTTAAGTCTCGCTCTGCAAATCTGGGTTCAACGTAATTGTGACAGTTATCAATACAAAAGCGGGCCTAACCAGTCGTGAATGCCACCATTTGGAGGCCAGCTTGAGTGAGCTTTAATAAAGGCATCCATTAAATTTTGCCAGTTTTATATTTGATAGCGTTTAAATGTTATTCAAAAGCACACAACTCATAAATACTCAGAAGGAAGCTAGTTCATTTGTGTGCATCAATACAACAGAAGGAAAAATTAAGTTACTTACAAATTTGATGAATTAACTTACTAGTTGACTACAATTTATTTCAGAATTTTCCACAATCAATCCTTAGCTTTTATGTCACAGTAGATAGGCCATGATATAAGCAAGCTATCCAATTAATACAGTATATAATAGAAATTTAACTCATTCACCCCTGAAGACACATTTGAACTCTTCCAATTCAAAGGTCTGAATAGTTCATTATGAAATTTCAGGGGTGAATGATTTAATCCAACTGTAAATGTCTTGTGTCCTCATCCAATTCTTGTGAGGAATATCCAGTTACTCCAGGATATATATACTGTATACACACTTCAGCAGCTGTCTGCCTTCAATAAAGAGATAGAAAGCATTAGCAAGCTAAAATTTGGACAGAAAAGTCAGATCTTATATAAATATTGGATTAAAACTAGAATCTGAAATATTCAACAATTATCATATTTTTTTTAAATCTTTTGTATAATCATTAGGTGATGTTTTTGAATTTTCCCAAATCTTTCTTATTTCATCATTATTTCAATCGAGGATTGAAAATTAAAAAAAAATTGATTAAAATAGATTTTCTTTTCTATAAGCGTGCTGAAGCAACATTTTGACTTGTATGTCTGCGGTGCAGTCCAATTTAGGTGCTTGTTTGTGTACTGTTGTCATGAATTCGTTATATAAAACTGGTTTGTACAAATTAACTAGGTTTTTTAAATTATTGTTTCCTATTACCAGTAGAATTATTTCAAATGATCTTGACATTTTTTTTTAAAAACTTATATCAAGAGACAGATACATCTACTGATGGCAGGCGCATTTCAGAGGTCAACGACAGTTATACTGTAAATTTTTGTCACTAATATATATATATAAATACAAGAGTATTAATACATTAAGTCTGTGTCGTCTGCTAGATAAACGAACAACTCGGTAACGGAGCAGACGTAAAACCACACAAACAAACAATAAATGTACACTGTACAATCTCCAGCATATTCAGGGCTGGACGGTAGACTTACACAGGTTCCAGGTATTTTCAAATGGTTCCGATTGAAATATCATGATTGAATTTAACCAAACTAATTATTGGTGTAGAATATGGAACGTGTTAGGTGTAAGAGAAAATCTGACTTAAATTCAACTGAAAATATTATTTGCTCTGTGACTTGTCAGAAAAGAAAATTACAAGTCAAACTCAACTTACATGAAGCATGTTTGTAAGTGATAATTTGCAGAGCTTTTTCTACCTTAAAAAATCAGAATCCTGAATAAATTTCCAATCTAAAATACACCTGTCTATAGTAACTAAACTAAAATGGAAACACAGCCACACTAATTAAACAATAACTGGTTCACAGA